TCAGGCGCCCGGCCCCCGCCCCTGCAGGGGGCCAGGCGGGGCCACACAAGGAGGGCGGTGAGCACCACGAGGACGGAGCAGAGGATGATGCCCAGTGCCGGCCCGCCCGCCATGCGGCCCAGGCGGAAGGTGGCATCCAGGGCCTGGGGCCGGGTGATGGCCGGGCACGATGCGGCACAGTCCTGGCAGGAGCAGGCGGCTGCGCCCTCGCCCTGGGACTCATTGCAGGCTGTGACATCCCCGTCCAGGGGCTGCATCACGCTCCCTGAGGCCTGGACGGGCTGCCACAGGTGGAAGGTGATGTCCAGGGGCGCCAAGCCGTTCCCTGTGTCCCCTTGGTAATTGAGCCAGCGCTGGGCGTTGCAGAGAGTGGAGCCGTAGACCCCGCACATGGCCCCCACGGCCAGTGTGGCGGCTGCTGGGATGCGCACGTGGCTGCAGGAGTCGTAGGTCTGCTCCGCAAAGCTGCGCTGGTAGAAAGCCTCGTAGGCCACCACGGCCGGGGGCTGGCTGTCCCTCTGCACCGCCACGCGTGTCACGTTGATGAAGAGGCTTTGATTGGGGCTGCACGTGTTGTGACAGTGCAGGCTCACGAAGTTGTCCGAGCAGGCCGGGCATCGGGTCAGCAGGGCCTTGGACACCGCCAGGCTCGCCTCCAGGGACACCAGCTGCTTGGGGGAGCAGCAGGCGTAGGTGGTGGTGGAGCCAGCGTAGAGGCGGGGGCAGACGCGCTGCAGGAGGGCCAGGTGGTCACCGGTGACCAGACGGGCAGGCGTGTTGGACAGGCAGGACACGTTGGACAGCGAGGCCAGGCTTCCGGTCAGCTCGGGGTTCCTCCCACACTCGTCGTAGAAGGCGCAGTAGCCGAGCCGGTGCACGGGCGTATACAGCTCACCCCGGGCCTGTGGAGCAGGGTGGCATCACCATGGGGCCGGCACACCAGGTGCGGAGGGCCCGGGGTTAGGAAGGACGCAGAGCAGTGGACACGGCAGTGCCATGCTGCGGGGCGTGGAGGGGCCTGGGGGTGTGCCGGAGCAGCACTCGGGGCCTCCCGCTGGTGTCTGGGGGTGACGGTGCACGGGTGCAGCCAGGCCGTCAGCCCGAGTTCCTGTCGCTGAAGAGAGAGCGAGGACCAGACAGACCTGCGTTTGGCAAGGTCAGGCAGAGGGTGAGGGGCGAATGGGGAGACCCCTGGAGGACGCTGGGAGGCCCTGCTGAGAAATGGGGCCCAGGACCGGTCGGAGGACTCTAAGGAGCCAAGCTGGCCCCAGGCCCCAAGCGTGAGGGGCCTCCTCCCCCTCGCCAGCGGCTGCCATTGTGCCCACGCTGCTGGCCGTGCCTCTGTGCAGGGCTCCCCTGTCTTCGCCTGCCCTCCCAGACGTGCACGTGAACGAGAAACACGAGAGGTGGGCCCCGGACCTCCTCCCAGCCCCCCGGCACTGATCCGCAGTGGGAGTCTGCGCAGACCCCCGCCAGCCACCTCAGGCCAGGGCATCTGCGGCGGACAGAGATGGGAGGTACTCCATCACACCCGGCCCCGCGGCCCCCGCCCCCCACCCTGCGTCCATCTAACCCTGCAACCTGGACACTTGGGCAGCCCAGAACTCTCACCCACACCCTCCTTCTGGGCTACCTGGGATCCCCTGTCTGTCCAGACCCAGGCCCGCCCTCACTGTCGCCAAGCAGCCCCCTGCTGCCCCCAGTGGGAGGCAGTGGGAAGTGGGACACAGGCAGCCGACTCACCACCTGCAGGAGCAGGGCCCAGAGCAGCCAGCCCCTCAGGCCCGCCTCTGCCATCCCAGCACCAGGAAGGGCTTAGAGGAAAGTGAGGCCAAGCCAAGGGGACAGCGGGACAAAGCCAGGAGGGCAGCCTGGCCTGATCGGGTTGGGGACCAATGGGGCTGAGCCCTACACCTCCCAGGGCCCCCCTCCGGTTAATGATCCACCTCACGGGCCCCTCCCACCTGTGGCCCCACCCTCTTAGGTGAATCACTCAGTGCCCCTTCCCAAAGCCACCCGAGCCCGAAGCTGAGCCAGCCGGAGACCTACCCAGCCCCAAACTTGGCCTCTGCTGCAGGAGGCGCTGGCTGGGGACACGTGAGTGGACACCGCATGGCCCTCCAAACCCCAACTAGTCCCCCCACGTTCCCCCGCTTATCCCCCAGCCTCAGACCCTGCTGCCCCCAGCCCCCTCTTGGGACCAGGCCAGCTCTGGACGGGAAGCGCCCTTGCTCTGTCATCCTTGGCAACTGTTATTAATATTAACAGGCCGATAACAGAAAAGTCACATTAGGGGTGGAGTGACACAGTGACATCAATCTCCTCCTCTGGGTAGAGAGGAGGGTCAGCTCGCTGGGGCCCCAGCGCTGAGAGCCACGGCCTCCTCTGCACCCCGTCCCTGTGCCTCTCTCATCCTGGTAGCCAGAGTGTGGTGGGAGCAGGGCGGCCCCCCACCTTGGCCCTCAGCCTCTGCTCCCTCCCCGCAAGCGCTCCCTATCTCCCTGAAGGCCAGACCTTGGCCCCCTTGCCAAGGCTGAACTGATAAAGGCAGCCATAGGGACATCTCCCACGCAGCCACCTGCCGGAGGAAGAAAGCTGCTATCTCGTCTGTCTTGCAGGAACCCTGGCCTGACCCCGAGGGAGCCGCCCGGCGCGCGTCCGGGAAGACAGAAGCGGGGAGGAGGCTGGGCCAAGCCCGCCCACCCCTCGGCCCATCTGGACAGGAGCATCACCAGCCCAGCCTGTCTGTGCACAGCGGCCTCCACCGCCCATTCCAGCCCCACCTATTCACCCCACTGGCAGACACTGAGCCCCCAGCCCCACGGCAGTCTCTGTCCTTCTGGGTTCCCCAGCAGCAGACCTGAGACAGGGTGAACAGTTCATTTGGAAGGTGACCCCAGATGGCACTAGTAGGGAAGCAGAACTGATCCAGGGGACAGCAGGAAGCCAACCGGGTACACTGGAGAGCTGGCCCGCCACGGACCTCGGGAGACTGTGGGGGCACACCTGGGGGTCCCCTCGGGGAGCAAGGATGAAGGCATGCTGGCCTACCACCTCCAGGCACTGGCTGACAGCTGTGGCCCAGACTCCTTGTAGAGTGGCCCGCTGGGGGGTGGGGCAGGGGGGCTCGGACACGTGGTCTGGGGTCTGCTTGCCCAGTCTCGGCACCCCAGCCCCCTATGCACAAGGTGCCTGCGAGGCTGCCGCGGGCCAGACCCAGGCTGAGTGCAGGACACGCACACTCTCGCCCCCGTGATTTGCTGCAGACACTCGGCGCCTCCTTCGCGCTGGGCAGCATGCTCACGGTGGGCTGCGCCCCACGGGCCCCAGCTGGCTCCCATATTTCGTTACGACAGGTAAGTTTTGAGCGATCGTCTTCGTGCCGACTGTTTTTCCCGCTTTGCATTCATTCCCTTAGGCCAAGCTCCTGGAGGTGAGGTTAGCGTGGACGCCGTGCGCGGGCCCAGCTCACCGCTGCCCCGGCTGTCTGGGGGCGCAGCCCGGCAGTCCTTGTCGGGATCTTGACTCCTCAAAGGTTGAAATTCCCTCCACCTACGCCATCAGTACCCAAGGTGCCGGGCCCCAGCCTCCCCGCACTGTGTGACATCTGTCATAGGTCCACAGACTTAATACCTGGGACACGATGCTGCTTTCATCCCCACCTCCCACACGGTACTGCCAGTGAGAGTGGAGAGGCCTGAGCAGGCCCAGAGAGGGGCATCACGGCCTCGGCTCTCTCCACCTGACCACCAGGCCTTGGATTCTCACAGGAGCCCTGGTCCCTGGTGCCACAAAGGTTGGGGACCGCTGCTTTAAATGTTTGGTGGAATTCAGCAAAGCCATCGGGTCCAGGGATTTTCCAGGGAGGTTTTTTGAAAATGGATTCAATCCCTTTACTAGTTACGGATCTGTTCAGATTGTCTATTTCTTCTCGATTCAGCCCTGGCAGACTTTGTGTTTCTAGGACTTTGTCCATTTCATCTAGTTATCCAATTTGTTGGTAGATAATTGTTTGTAGTTCTCTCTTACAATACTTTATGTAGAATTGGTAGTTATGTCTTTACTTTCATTTCTGATTCAATAATTGGAGTCTTCTCTTTTTTCTTAGTCTAGCCAAAGGTTTGTCATTTTTATTAAACTTTTTAAAGAACCAACTCTTGGTTTAGTTGATTTTCTGTCGTTGTTCTATTCTCTATGGTATTTCTCTCTGCTCAGATCTTTGTTATGTCCTTCCTCCCACTAGCTTTGGTTTTAGTTTGTTCTCCTTCGTTCCCTATGCTGTAAAGTTACGTTGCTGACCTGAGTTCCTCCTCGTTTTTTGACGTTAGCATTTACAGCTGTAAATTTCCCCCTTAACGCCGCTTTTGCCGCGCCCCTGAAGTTTTGGTATGTGGCGTTTCCACTTTCATTCACCTCTAAGTGCTTTCTCATTTCGCTTGCAATTTGATCTTTGACCCATTGGTTGGCGCCGGTGTGGAGTATCATTTCCACAAGTTTGTGAATTTTGCAGTTTTCCTCCTCTTAGTGATTTCTAACTTCGTCCAGTTGTGGTCAGAGAATATACACCAGATGGTGTCCAGCTTTTTAAATGTTGAGACAATTCGTAGCCCAACGTGTGGTTCATCATGGAGAATGTTCCATGTGTATTTGCTGTTGGGCGGAGTGCTCTGTATACGGGTTGGATCTGGGCGGTTTCTCATGTCGCTCGAGTCCTCTATTTCCTTCCTTATGTCTGGTGGCTCTGCCCATACTCAGAGCGGGGCACTGAACTCTCCTGCCGTGGTGGTAGAACCGTGTTTCTCCCCCAGTTCTGTCCATTTTTGCTTCGCATGTTTTGAGGGCCTGTCAGTGGGTGCGTAAATGCAGTACACACTTATTTTTCCTGTATTGCATCTGTTATTAATACGTAATGTTCCTCTTCATCCCTTGAAAACATTCGATTTAAAGTCTATCTTTTCTGACATCAGCAGCCACCCCTCCACCCTTTTGTAATGTCTGCAGAATGTCTTTTTCCATCCTTCCACTTTCAACCCGCGGGTGTCCCCGGATCTCACGTGAGGCTCTTGCAGACAGCATATAGTTGGATCATGTGCTTTAATCCATTCTGCCAATCTCCGCCTTTTGATACAGGCCTTGCTATGACCCATGTTAGCTGCCCTCTGAGATCTTTCTTTCTCCAGTTGGTGTTGAGGTACTGCCTAGTGTCCTCATTTCACCTTCCAAGACTCCCTCAAGTGTTTCTTAAAGGGAAGGGCCAGTGGTTACAAACTCCCCTGGTTTGTGTTTATCTGGGAATGTCATTTCTCCTGCACTCTTAAAGGACAGTCTTACCGGATACAGGATTCTCGTTGACAACTTTTGAAAATTTAAGCACTATTATTATAGCAGCCCACTGTATTCTGGTCTCCCAAGTTTCCGATGAGAAATTTGCTGGTGACGCTTTTGAGAATCCCTTGCATGTGACCACTGCCTGCTCCCTTGCTGCTTTCAAGATTCTCTTTGGCTTTTTAAGTTAGATTATGTTATTATGACTCTTTTTGAGCTCATCTTACTTGGAATTCATTGAATTTCTTGGATGTTTATATCCACGTTGCTTATCAGATTTGGGAAGTTTTCGACCATTACTTCTTCCAATACTGTCTGTCCCTTTCTCTCTCCTCTCCTCCCGGATTCCCACAGTGCATAAGCATGGTCGCTTAGGCTCCATTTATTTCCTTCAGTATTTTTCTCTTCCTCAGACTCAGTAATTTCCATTGTCCTATTTTCAGGTTCACAGATTTTCTTCCACCTGCTCATACCTGCCTTCTAATCCCCCTGGTGAACTTTTCAGCTCTAGAACTTTTTAAGTTTTTTTAGGTTTCCTATCTTAATATTTCTATTTGTCCACACAATATTTTTCTGACCATCTCCACACCCTCCTTCAGTTCCTTGAGCATTTTTAAGAGTTATTTGAAAGTGTTTGCCTAGTACATCTTTTTCAGAGTGTTGATTTATTTTTTCCTTTAAGTGAGCAATGTTTTTGTTTGTATACCTTGTGACTTTTTTTTACCCCCAACTCTGGACATTTGAATCTGATAATAATATAAATCTGGCAATCGGATCCTCTCCCGTCCGCAGGGTTTTTGGCTTTTGCTTTTATTGTATTGTCGTGGGCTGTCACTGTGCCAAGGACCAGCCTGAGATGTACACTTAAGGTCTCCTCAGGTCTTTTCTGGGCCATTCCCTGAGTATGTGCTGTCACTTTGATTTTCCCTGTATATGAAGCTGTTTTTAAATGTCTTGGTTTTTAATGTCTGGATCCTGAAAGGAGAAACATACGAAAAATGAAGGCAGTAATAAAAGGTCACCCACCAGTCCTTTAAGTCCCCTAGAAGTCACTTGAGCCAAAAGGAGGTCTTGAAATGGCCACACATTTGATTTGTCTGCACCTCTGTGAGCAGAAGCAGCATCGACCCTCAGAGCACAGATCCCTGCTGTTTGGAGGGCAGGGTCCTTCTTGTCACCCTGAAACAGCCCCCACAAACTGTGTGCGAGCTGCTCCAAGGTCATGTGCACGGCTGTGTGCCACTTGGCTGGGTGTGGAAGACACAGGTGCTGTGTAAGAGCGAAAATTGACCAAAATTAACCCCAATTTACACAGAGAAAAGGGCACCCAGCTCAGCCTAGCGGTCAGGAACACTTGCTTCCTAGGGGAGGTGGTACCCAGACCAAAAAAAGTTCTACTCTTAAGGTTGCCAAATTCAGCAAATAGGAAGCAGGACACCAGCTAATTTGTTTCAGATAACAGATAACTTTTAGTGAAAGCATGCGACACACTGATTGGGATGCACTTATGCTGAAAAGTTGGGCCCCTCGTCACAGCAACTCACAGATGACGGGGGAGGGAGAAAAGGGCTGAAGCCAGCCCACACCTCAGGCTCCAGGTGCGGGCCCACAGACCTGAGCCCCCTCTCGCTCTGCCACCGAGCCAGGTAGCACGGGGCTGACTGCTCCCCTTCTGAGCCTGTTTCCCAGTCTGTAACGTGAGATGGGTGTGTGAACGTTAAGGCTCACCGCTCAAAGGGTGCTTTGGGGTAGCAGCACCGGCCTCCCTGGGGAGCGGCTGCTGGGAACGAGGCCTAGCCCTGCTGGGTGAGACCTCATTCTGAGAAGCCCCTGTTACTTGGGGGTGTGGCATTTTGAGGGGCCTGTGTACAGAGCCGAGTGTGGGAGTTTACCCCCACAGGACACCTGGAGGAGCACTTTGCCCCACTTAGAGAGGAGGCCCCAAGAAGCCAAGGCACCTACCTCAAGGCCACAGAGACAGCTCTCAGGGCGTGACTGAACACCCCCAATGTGCCCGACCTCCAGCTCGGCCGTGGCCATGCTCACTTCCAGCCAGGGAGGCCCTGTGGAACCCTCCCAGCACCCTGGACAGCCCTGAAAACTGACTTGTGGCACTGCCCCTGCTCCCTCCAGCCCCCAGCCCAGTGCCTGCACCTGGCAGACCTCGTAGGTGTTGTAGGACAGGTGACGCTCTGCGGGCTCTGGGAGGCCAAGTGCACTGAGGGCCTGATTCCCGAGCCCCAAAGCTCGCATGCAGGCTGTGCTTGCCCCTCCCCTGGACTGGTGCTCAGCTCCCCACCTATGTGGGGCGAGTATGCTGGCGCGGTGGAGATGATGGTCGCTGCCCTCCACTGGCCTCTCTGCTGAGTCCCGGCCATCAGCCTGGAATCGGGAGCTTATCTGCTGCTCACCTGGCTGAATGATGGCTGGCAGGCTGCCCATCGAACTCCAGGCCCAGGGCCGGCCATGGGCACACTGGCGGCCCTGCCTAGTCTTGGCGTGGGCATGTTCGTTCTGGGGAGAGCCTGAGCACGAGCTGGATGCGTCCACCCTCAGGAGGCCTGTTTTGCCGATGGGAATGGGCTGTGGGGCCTCGATGGGCGTCTGGGCCCCTGCACCCCGCCCTCTGCAGACGCAGGGTACAAGGAGGGCGAGCATCCTGAAGGGGCTGAAACGGCAGCTGCTCGACTGTGGGAAGGCCCCTGTGGTGCTGACCACTCCTCGGGCACCGGGGCAGGCCTGGGCAGCCGTCCAGACCCCGCCCAGCCCCACCTGCCGTGAGTGCTGAGCCTCGGCTCCCATAGGACAGGTGTCAGCCCACAGCCGCCAGGCCTCACCCGGCCCCAGGTGGGGACACAACCCAGAGCAGAGTCCACTTGGGAAGGACCGTCCTGGGAGGCCCCAAGTGCCCGTCTTCTGCACCGGGGCAAGCTCGTTGGCGACATGGTCCCGGTGGTGGCAGGGCCCGAGGAGCCAGGACAGTCAGTACAAGGCTGCTCCGCCACCTCAGGGCAGCCGGCCAGGTGAATGTCTCCAGGGCCAGGCCAGCCCCTCCCATGTCCCTCACTCGGGGGGCGGCAATCGCTTTCCTAGCGCGCCTGGATGTGGCGGCCTGGCGGCCACAGGGACCCAGCACATCCCCAGCCCGTGTGCAGGTGCCTTTGCCTGAATGGCACCTCCCCCACCAGCCTCGCTCCGTACAAACCCCCAGACAGGACAGGGCTCGGAACGCCGAGACCAGGCACGGTCCAGAGCCGCCCGAGAAGAACAGGAGCACCCGGCTCCAGCCGCGAGCAGACGGCTCGTGCTGGCGCCACGGCCAAATTTTCTGTCCGAAACTGCACCTGGGGATTCCTTCCGACTCCCCGCTCGCCCGCCCAGGCCAGGTCTCCCCTCAGTCGCCTGCCTTGTCCCAAGCAGGCGGTGGTGGTAGGACAGTGGGCAGTCAAGGGCAGTCGGCACAGCCCCTTCTCCAGACCGCGCGAAGCTAGGGGCCTGTGGCGGGAACCGTCTCCCGTCGGGCCCCGGCTGAGCAGAGTGGAAGAATGCGTGTGCGCACCACGTACGGCCGACTGCGGGCCCGGGGCACCGGCGGGCGGGCACAGCCCGCGTGAACCCTCAAGCGGCTGCTGGGGACGGCCCCTTCCTACATACGGGAGGCACGGCTGGGCAGCTGCAGTCTTTATTCCGGGGCTGAGGCATGAACCGCCGGCCTAGCAGGGCCTGGACCTGGAGGCCGCAGCCCCGCCGGCCCTGGAGGCCAGTCCGTATGGGGAGGGGGCTGGGAGGGGCCCGGGAGGCAGCCACGCCACCCGCTCTTTAGGAGGGCTCCGCCGCGGGCCCACGCCGCTCGCCTCCGTGCCTGAAGCTGCGCAGGGGGTTCCGGGCCTTCGCCTTCTGTGGGACAGAGCTGTGGGTCAGCTGCCCAGGCTGAGACAGACTGAGGTATGGGAGGCAGTGCCACTTGGCAGGGCCCTGCCGCCCGCAAGCCAAGGACAGCAGCCACTGTGTCGCTGCAGAGGGCAGCCTGCCCTGCCCCCTCCCGCAGCCTGGAGGACATAGAGGGCAGTGGGGACAGAAAAGCAGCTCCTCCCGTGCTCTGGAAGACACGTGCGGGGGATGACATAGTCCCAGCCCCCGTGACTGTGAACGGGCCACCAGAAAGGTTGGGGCCGGCTGTCGGGGTCGCTCTCCTCCCCGGCAAGGGCACGTCGTATGCATACCCCAGTGACAATGCAACAAGGTGAGGGGAGGCCCGTTATCTGTCGCCAAAGCCGGAGTACATACCGCGGCCTTCTTAAAGGACAGCTTCTTCCGCTTCTTATGAGGGGAGACGAGGCCTCGAAGAGCAGGAGGGACTGGAAGAGACACATGGCCTCAGCAGCGGTGCCAGGAGCGAGCCCCGTTCGCCTGTAGGCCCGCCAGGCGAACCGCTGGCTCCTGGAGAGCCCCCTCCCACCCTGACCTGGGCCCACTCTGGGGCCACATCAAAACACCCACGACCACACAACTGTCCGTCAGCGCGCAGAACGGCCATCCCCAGGGATGAGGTTATGGGGACTTCCACTGTATAAATTGCTTCTCCCTCATGTTAAAGTTTGTTGTGATAATTGTATAACAGAAAACAAACAAACGAACAAAAAAAAACCTTTTTAAAGAAAATGCTTCTACAGTAGAAATAAACCCACACGTAATTTTCCACCCGTGGCCTACCGCCGCGAGCTCGCTCCACTCCCCCGGACCTGATGACTACCCTTGGCCTCCACCCTCACCGCCACCTGCTCTGACACAGCACAGGACGTACTCTGGTCCGCCACACGTCTCAAGGCCCCCAAGCAACTCCCACTGCATGAGGTCCTAGCCCCTCAGCCACGTGCCACTGGCAAGTGACTTCCCATGGGACCAAGGTGGGCCCGCCTCGCTTCCCCGTGCTGCCACCTCCAGCACAGAGGGCAGCATCTGAGGGCCGCGCAGTGTGCAGATGTGCGCGCCTGCGCGCTGCTGCCGCCCAGTCTCCACGTCCTGTCCGCCGGCGCGGCGCCGAGGACCCAGGGCCCGCAGGCGCCCTCACCCAGGTAGTCGGGCACGTGGCCCAGGTGCGGCTTCACCACGGCGGGGTGCAGGGGCAGGTCGTGCCGCAGCAGCTGCAGGTCCCGGGGGTTGTCTTCGAAGTACGTCTAGCGGGGAAAGGCAAGTAGAGCGGAAGCTCCCTCGTAACGTCACAAAGGTTTGCAACACAGGTGACTCGTGTCTTACAACGTAAAAAGCCGAGGCTTCCCACTGCCTTTGCCCTGTCACCCCTCCCCTCCCCGAGGCAGCGGCTGACATGTCTCCCTTCCTCTCACGTCCACATAGCACCTCATCCACACAGCACCCCCGTCACTCGGTGCTGTCCCAGACTGTCCCCTCCATCTGTGGGGCACTCCCTGTGGTGAAGCCTCAGGTCTTCCCACCTCTGGGATAACAACGCTGCGAGGAACGTGTGACGTGCCCGTTTGGACACTGCCATCCTGACAGACAGCGCGCTGCCCGCAGCGAGGCCAGGCCAGCTCGCGCCCGCCTCACCTTGAGCCTCTCCGAGTGCAGGAGCTCCTCCTTGATCTCCTTCAACCTCGCCTCTCGAATGCCTTGTTTAGTCACCGAGCGCATGGCATCCTGGGGACACCAAGGTCAGGATGCTGGGGCTGCCCCGGTCCCACCCCGGCCCCGCCCCGGCCCCTCTCCCGGCCCCCACCCGGGCCTGCTCACCCTGCAGCGGTAGCGGAAGCCCTCGATCTCCTCCATGTGGAACTGGTAGGGGAGCAGGGTGGGGGCGTCGCTGTCTGCGGAAGGCAGCAGTGAGGGCCCCCTGCGCACGCCGCTGGGACCCCCGGCTCCGTCCCTGCCACGTGCAGACGCGAGAAACCTGGGTCTCGAGGGTAGGCCCGACAGGCACTCCAGGATGCAGTGGCCTAGGCGGCCCACTGTCACCACATCCTGGGTGCCCGTCGCATTCCCAGGACCTGCCCACCATCCAGTCTCCTACCCTAAGGCCACCCCTGACAACAGCCATAGAACAACAGGAGCACCTAGCAGTAAGCCACTGTCTCAGCACTGTCACAGCAGCATAATGGGTCGCCTGACATCCCCAACACATGGACTTTGGGTGCTGGCCTCTCCCGTTTCAGGGAAGAAAGCCAGGCACAGACGCTGAGGCCCAGGAGCTCGATGCCACACAGTGGACACGTCGGGCAGGAGGCCCCAGAGGAGCGTGATCGGACCCTCTAGGTGGCGGGCAGCCCGGCCCGCCCTTCCGCCCATCCTCTCTTGGCACCTGGCTGCCCCACTACAGTGTCACCTCCCAGAGGCACCTGTGCGGAGCCTCCGAGCAGGCCCCACTGAGACGCCACCAGCCCTTCCCTGTCTCCCAAACCCCCTTCCCCTCCCCGACTCTTGCCCCCTGGGGCAGGCAGTACGTGCCCGTGCGCGAACGCCGGTGGGTCTGGACCTGGGCTCGCTCGTCTGTGGAGGAAGCAGTGCCTGCCACCAGAGCGGGACGAGGATGGAGCGAGGGACGTGGGGGCACAGTGGGGCTGAGTGGGTGGGTGGCTGCTGGTCGCACTAGTGTCCCTGTTGTCAGCACCACCCCTGGGTCTCAGACGGCATGGGCGAAGCCTGGCCCTGGATCCTACCTCCGCCGAGAAGCTCCTCGATCTTCCCCAGGTGTGGCAGCTCCGTGGGCAGCACGAAGGTCAAGACTATGCCTGGGTTGTTGGCACGTGCTGTCCTGCAAGGAGAGACAGCCCAGCCTGTGTCTCTGCAGTGTGCCCATATCCAGGTGCCCGGCCTGCCACGCTCCAGCTCTCTCACCTGCCAGCTCGATGGATGTAGGCCTCGGGGCTGGGAGGCAGGTCAAAGTTGAGCACGGCACACACGTGGTGGAAGTCTATGCCCCGGGCCACGCCTGCCTCCGGGTCAGAAGCCCTGCAAGAACAGCCCACGGCAGACTCGGCCCTGTTCTCCCCGCGTGGGTATCCTCACGCTTATCCAATCGGCAAGCCCCCCGGAGCCCTGCATGGAGCCACTGGACCTGTGGCCGGCCCACCCTTGCCCTGCCCTCCACCCTGGGGCAGGAGCAACCGGACTGCCCCGCGGGGTGGTCCGAGACCCAGGCAGGCAGAGGAGGAAAGGGGCTCCCTTTCCTCCTCAGAACTAGCCCCCCACCAGTCCCGGCTGCACACCCAATGCAGCCAGGCCATCCGCCCTCAAGGACAGGGTGCCAGCAACCCAGGAGGCCTTGTCCCTGGAGCCGTGCACTTCACTCCCTTCGCCAGACTCAGGAGCTGAGTGCGGGCTGTGTGGGCTACGCAAGCAGCCAGGTCTGGCTCTCCACTCAGGCCTTCCGGAGCCAGCTGGCAGGACAGACACGAGGACTCACCTGTCCCCCTTGGACCCTTTGCCTCGGCGCTTGCCTTTGACCGAGGCCCCCAGGACTTCAGCATCAGTTGCTATGACACAGTCGTAGAGGCCTTGGTTGAACTGTGAGATGATGTGGCACCTGTAACCCAAGAAGGGAGGGTCAGCCCCAAGAGCAAGCCGGAGGCTGCTCTCCTACCCCCGGCACCGCTGTCACCACCGTCATCGGTTCCGACTTTTCCCTCTTCTCGAATGCTCCTCCACTTAATCTTTGTGTCTCAACCCCCTCAGTTGAGATGGAGCGACAGGAGATATCTCGGAGTCGCAAGAGTCAGAGTATCAGTCAAGCCTAGAGCCCGGCCTGTAAGCCCTGAGGAAACAGGCGTCTCCCTTTCCGACCCGCATCTGCGACGCCCCGCAGCTGGGGCCCACCTGGAGCGCAGGGGGAGCTCCCCGTTGAGCACGCAGGCGGGGATGCTGAACTGCTCCAGGAAGAGGCGCAGCCGGTAGCTGCGCTCCAGGGTGTTGACGAAGAGCAGGGCCTTGCCCCGGATCAACGCCAGCTTGAGCAGGGCGTACAGCACCAGAAACTTGTCTTCCTCGGCAGCGCAGACCACCTGGAACTGCTGCAGCTGCTCTGGCCCCGGCAGCTGGGACTCCTGCAACTTGAGGGTGACCTGGGGGAGGACAGGCCTGTGGTCAGGAAAGCGGGGATGACAGAAACGCCACCGGCTCACTAAGCACAGTGCAGACGCATCAGGCAGGGAACGTGGGGCCCCTCCAGATAGTGTAAGAAGTCGGAGCACCTAACTGTGGTGGGGCACGGAGGACGAAAGCTACACGCAAAGTATCTGGGGCGCAGAACCCAGAGAAACGCGATGGCAGACGACTGCAGGGCATCCTTTCTGAAGAGCAGAGATCGCGTACAGAAGGAACTGGGGCCCTGCTGCTCAAGGCAGCCTTCCCGCCCCTGGGGGTCGCTGCTCTGGCCTGCAGAGGCATAACCCTAGGGGATATCTGGACACACACAATGACTTAGTTTTCGGGGTGGGGGTGTGTGTGTGTCTGTGTGTGAGGACTACTGGCTTCCAGTACTTCAGGACCAGTAATGGTAAACCAGAAACAACTGCTCTACCCAAATATCAACAGGTTCCTTTGAGATGGGAGGATCAAGTCCTTTGAGTGTCACGTTAGTGGTGGCTGTAGATGCTTCATGGGGCGCTTACCGGGTTATGCAGCACCAGCTCCTTTAGGGCTTGTACGTCCTCATTAAAAGTAGCCGACATCAGAAAAGCCTGATAAATCCGGGGCAAATGACTAAAACAAAACAGAGCCCATCAGACTCCAGCTCCAGAGCCTCTGTGGCCGCTGGAATTCTAGCCACTGGCTCCAAGGCCGGTGTCTACTCACAGCCCCCATACACCTTTTCCTCACCAGAGAAGACTCTTGAGCTCTTCCTCAAAGCCAAAGGAAAAGAGAAGATCAGCCTCATCCATCACCAGCAGCTCCAGGGAGTCTCGCAGTCTCAAGCTATCTTGCTGCAAGTGGTTTAATATGCGAGACGGGGTCCCCACCACTATATCGGGCTTCTCTGTCAGCACAGCTCTGCAGGTGGGCAACACCTCAGTATCGGGGAGAAGGTAGTGGCTGGGACCTCGCCCTGGACCAGCCCTTTCTTGCTGCACACAAACTCAACCCCACATCTCTGCACAGCTTCATTCCTACAGCCCTGTTGATTCCACCCACCTCTGAGAGGCTGAGTCTTCAGCAGCTGACACATTGGCCACCCGGATGTCTCGGGCACAGTAGGCAGCCAGCTGCTGGATCATGGACTGGGCCTGCCGTGCCAGCTCCTTGGTGGGCACGAGGACGACGCCTCTCACAGCCTGCTCTACCGCGGGGCCTGTCTGAAAAGGCATGATTGCAGACTTCAGCCTGCCGGTTCGTGTCGTCGTGGCCACCTGATACTTCCTCCAACTCTTCCAGGCCATCTGACCCAACTGTTGTGACTTCGACACAACTCAACTACGTTCTCGTCATCTCCTCACTTACGTTTATCCACCTCAGAATGCACAACAACGAGTTCTTTCCCAGGCACTGCTCCTCAAGAATAACTCACTTTACAGTCGTGACTTACTTAAAATACACCACCAGTCAGGGCACTGGAGTTTCACAAGTCTTATGGGGCGTGGAGGGGCGAAGTGACAACTCTTCACAGCAGGAAGAAAAGAAAGCCATTTCCTCAAGGTTACACAAAGAATTGTGCTAGCAGGGCCGGGACTAGGACCCAGGTAACCTGAATTGTAGCCCTGAACGGCTGCCACACAGCACCAGGTTCTCTGGGGCCAGCCCTCACAGGTAAGAGGCCAATAAAAAGCGGGGTTCTTGGGAAAGACTGGGAGCCGGGCGACGACAACTCGGCTTTCCAAGAGTGCACGACGGGCACTCAGACGCCTGCATCCCCCTTCCCGGACTTTGGGGCCCCTCCCGCGACCCACCGTCTTCTTGTGGAGCAGCAGCTGCAGCATCGGAATGGCATAAGCGGCCGTTTTCCCCGAGCCGGTGCGAGCCCGGGCCAGGAGGTCCTTCCCCTCCAGGGCCAGTGGGATGGCCTTTTCCTGGATCAGCGTGGGCCGCGACCAGCCCAGGTCGGTGACGGCCTAGCAGAGACGAGGGGAGGCTCAGATGGCCGCTGTGCCGGCGCT